ACAGGATTAGTACTCCTGGAAATTTAAAGTAACACTAACTTTTAAAGGGCAAAATATACAATATGATAGTTACGCGGCCTGATAAAGCGTGTTCTGGATGTTTCTGCTTAGCTAGTATAAGGGGATTCTCTGAAGACACTGAAAAACGTATCTAATTGTTTTCATTGTTTACACTTTGTAGCTTTCATCTACTCTTACACAAAAAAGCTATTAGCAACTAAGAACAATAACTATCCTGTCATCTTTATTTTCGAGCCAGCGGGCTGGTTCACTGGAATCTCTTTAAGGGGGATTTCCCCCTCAACCTTGATGTCAAATAAATCTAAGTTTAACATTTGTGTTGAAATAATGACCATCTGTGGTTCTTGTTCTTCCTCTCTTCTCTCTCTTTGTCTTACAAACACTTTTGTAATGTTTTTAGTGATAATTGACTGTAATCTGTGATCTTTCTAATGCAGAAGAGTAGATATATATACTTGATTTAAGATGCTGTTGCAGGGAGCAGACTGGGGTCGATATGCAAAAGTTGGAAGCAAGAGGGATGATGTCAGTTTTTGTACATTTCAGTAATCTGGAGCTTTTGTTCTCTTTAAAAATAAGGTTGTTTAATCAATGCCTGCACGTTCATTTATTTAGATATAAAATAAATATTGTTTTAAATATGTAAATCTAAGGTTCGAACAGCATTGAGCGGCACAGGCTCCAGGATACTGAAACCTCAGATGATATATATGTAAAGTTCACTACAACAGCACTTAAATACTGAGGACTAATGTCACTCACACATTCTCCAGAATGTTGATCTTCATTTCTCCTGTGCTATTGTAAAGGATGAAAGCTATGCACTTACAGAAAGCTTTCCATGATTACATCCATATTAATGACAGCAACATTCATAAAGTGAAATATATTCTGGAGATTTCTTTCAAAATGAATTTACCATTAAAGTACTATGGAAATGAATTTATTTTTCTGATTGTGACAAATATTTATATATAAGCAATGTGGTGTTGCTCCAAAGTTTTCTTGGTCTTTTGTTTGGTTTCATGCATGGAGAGGATACTTTCTAATGATGGACCGGAACTATATTTCTACACTCAAAATGTGAATGTTTCTTTCTTTAATGTAACTGTCAGGTGAGGTTATCTGTATGTATTATTTGGGGGAAATAAAGATAATGTTGGGTAATAAATAAAAATATTTGTTGTGTGATTTATTTACCATCCAGCTAGGCTATTAACTCGCCATGACGAATGATTTACTTGTGAAGTAAGTTATGTTTTTTAATTGCCAGTACACGGAATGCATGTGTGCTAATTAGCTGTAGTAATGAAGCTGAAACTAAATATAATAGGTCTACAAACTGTCCCATTTTGTTCATTCTTAACTTAGTTCCTTTAACTAAACTAACTTAGTATATTTGACATGTAGACATTGTGTTGGTGCTATACATTAAATTAAACAAGATAACCAGATGATAGTAGAATATATTCTTGAACAGTCTTGAAACTGCTTCTGTAACCTGCAGGATGACTGCTGTAGCTCAGTCATAACGGCTAACTCACCCGATTCCCGCTCTGTGCTACAAAAAGATCATATGTTAATATGAGATGTGCATTTAGCGCGGCTTCTAACAAGTAATTATCTGTGTTTGAGCGCCCTCGTGTGCTGGAATTTTTTTTTTTGAGAGAGATTAAAAAACTACAATTCCCAGCACGACTTCCGTTGTTCGTCGGAAGTACATTTCTAAAGCAGGACATTTTGGTTTCATGCGGAAGTGACACGTTCATAATGGTAAGATGATCTGAAATAGACGTAGAAGTGTTATGTTTTTTATGTCTTTTTTTGTCGTTTGCTTGTATATGTATTCATATTATGCCTAGTTGTTGCTCGCCGCGTTGTTCCTGGTTGTTAACTGTCCAACTTTCCAGTTAATATGATTAATAAGCAACACAAGAGTTTAACATCGTGGTCCGTATTTAGGCGACATAGAATAATTCACTAATAAAAGAATAGTTCTTATTCATTCATTTAAATGTATTTGTTCAGTAGTACTTCTTTGTTCATTGCTTTATGACAGCTAATGAATAATTTGACCCTGTCACAGAGATCCAGACATCGAGACACTTCATAAACACACTAAGTGTGCATCTTTAAACTTGCCTTAAAAACACATCATTTGTTTCTTTCAGTGTGGAGTATAGAAGTCAATAAAAGACAACATATTAATTCCTCAAAAATTAAATATTTATTTTATTTGTTTAAATATGTTTATCATTATATGTTTGCGTTTTATTTTAAATGAGTTGTATTAAATGAAATTTGCACTTTTATTTAGGCTTATATTTAAACTCTAAAAAACATTTTCAGTCAGGCAACAGGAGCAGATCAAGCTGTTGGTTTTGGACTTGTTGGTTTTAGCGTGTTGCTGTTTACATATTACACTATTTGGGTCATAGTCTTGGTAAGTGTGTGTGTGTGTGTGTGTGTGTGTGTGTGTGTATGTATGTGTGTTTTATGCTTAAACTTTAACAACATTTAAATGTGATGAATTAGTTTAGCAGTTTTCCAAATTGATATGACACCCATAACATGCTTTGTTTCATACGCTACTGAAAAAAATATTGAAGTGATCAAACACTGATGCAGACTTTTCTGCCCTCGTTCCAGCCTTTTGTAGACGGTGACCATGTGATCCACAGCTATTTTCTTCCACGAGAATATTCAGTCATACTTCCTGGAGTTGCAGCATTAATCCTCTTACTTTTTGTTGGTAAGCAAGCAATCCATGAACATAATGTTAATAGTATATCAAGTTAAAAATGTTTGTAATTATATCCACACCCCTTCCGAACAGCTGTGACAGTCACATCTTTCAAGAAGTAGCAGAAGACACACCTCTTCTGCAAGCACTTAACCACCTCACACCCTTAAACCAATGCACTTATACACAAAAAGCACTTACTTTTCTTCTGTGCATTACTCCTCTTTTCTAACTTGCTTCCTAATCTAGTTGTAAACCTGCATTGTGAATAATGTGGTTCCTTGACAAATTGCTTTTGTTCCTCTTTGGATAAAAGCATCTGATAAATGCATTAATGTAACGTAAATGTAAATCCAACAATACAGCTAACAATACAGCCAATAAAAATCAGAATTTATTTGTTTTCCTCTGGTCGTTCATTTTCTCTGTCTACTCTAGTGAACAAATTTACCCTTACTGTTTTTTTCAGGCACCTTCATAGGGGTGGTAACATGGAAGAATCGAAAACCTAAGAAAGTTGATTAAGACTCTCCAGGCTGTTGTGATTCATCTGGTCACAAGAACGAACTGTGCTGATTTGACTCATGTACCACTTCCTGTACACAGCCGCGTGAAGATCAACTCCAAAGCTGCTCTCCTGGATTCCAGTTATTAGACATGTTCAGGTGGTTCCTAAAATGAACAACAAAATAGATTTCATTAATAGCCCAAAGCAGTACTGAACATGTAGCTGCGTAGTAGTCTGTTTGAGCTTTGTGCACCCGATGGCCACAACCTTGATTGAAGACCACTATAGCTTTGCAGAATTCTTTCCATAGTCAGGGAGATAAAAGCAAATAATATGTGAGAACACTCTTTAGGCACCTAAGAGATGGGGTTGATTTATGTATAGTGTGTATCTGGAAGACATCTAAATGAAATACAGGATTTCTCTTTTTGTTTAGTTATGCTTTACGTTGAGGAGATTCAGCTGTTCTTTTATGTTGTAAATAGATGTATTTATAAACTGGAGTGCTTGATTCTAGCAGCAAAATAATTCAGGACAACAATCTATAAAGAATGAGAAAGAACTTTTTGTAATATAAACAATCCCACATTAAAATGAATAGAAATATGCTTAACTTTATAATGTTGTGTTTGTTTTTCTCTTATTTTATATGTAAAGCATATCTATGTATTTACATGTGTATATAAGTTTAATTTCAATTACTTTAATGTGTTGTAATGAGTTTGCTCTGAATAGTCCAGCTGCTTTTTCTAAATTCTGGGTGGCAGTTGAGAGAGTAGAGTTAACTGTGACAACTGCAGTGCATCCTCAGGCATCAAAGAGGACCTTTTGGGCAACCACTAACTCTTGTCTCTCGCTCTCATTTACTGGCAAGGTTAGTTAAGTTAATTAAATTTAATGTTAAATTACAGATTTAGATTTAGAACATTTTTTGTATTTATTTATATGAGTTTTTGTGTCTGTAGTGGACATTATTTAGTGAATTTCTCAGATCTTACATGTCAGAGTTTTAAATCTGGATGTCCTGTAAAGA